AAGCAGCGGCCCCTGGGCTGGGGCAGGTGAGGGCCCGTGAGAGGTGAGGCGCCCCACCTGTGCGGAGGCGCGGCGGCCACCTGCACAGACTGGGACAGTCGTTCCACTGGCCCGGCCCTAGGGGTCCAGCTCCTTGAGGTCACGTGGGTGCCGGCCAGATTGCACCTGAGCCTCAGGCCTGATCTGGGGTGCCGCCTCATCTGTGACTTGGGCGTAGCAGAGACGATACCCAAACTCCAGGGCACCTGGCTGTAAGGTGAGGTGCCCGGCCTGGGCACCCAAGACCCTGAGTACCCATTATGAAACGGTGGTGAGCATGTCAGTGAGCGCCCCACTGGGACCTCGGCGCCAGTGAGGCTGAGGGGCAGGGTCTCCTTGAAGAAGCAGACCCATAAGCATCTTTGTCCTCTTTGTTACCAACACACAACTCTTTCTAAATCCTCAGCCTTTTTGAGCATTAAAAATATGACTCTTCTGTTCCCTGTCCCTCAGCAGCCTCTTCAGCAAAGCACAGAGGAAGGGCACCGGAGGGCAAAAGGCAAACGGCCATTGCCCTTTCTCTGCTCCCCGCCCCCACCCACGAGCCAGCCCCCACTCAGATTTCTGCCACAAAGACAACAGGCCACAGTCTCTTTAGGGGCCTTTGTCTTTGGTGGTTCCTTCTCAGTATAATCTCATTGTGCATTTCTTGACAGCTGGCTGGATCTCATCTCGTTTTAACAGGGCAAGAAAATCTTATCAGCTGCACCAGGAAAGCCCTAGAAAAGTTAGGAGATAAGCTCTGTGGAATCCTAGACTAACTCAAACACTCAGTGTCCTCAGAAGGTTAGTTACAGGAGACAGGTGACAGCTTTCTTGCTCATGGGAAATTGAGCTGGTTATTTCAAGATACTGTGCCATGCATAGAATATTTAAATGGGGCCTCTGAGAGATGAGGCCTTTTCTGGGACTTGGGCACCAAAGACCCATGTGAAGTAGTTGACATAGCAATTACTGGTTCATTTGAGCCCAGAATCATCTTCTCTAATCCACATTTTTCATTCCTTCCTTCTGGCTTTTCCACACTCCTGATTGGCGCTGAAGGCATTTTTCCTGCCCTGCCTCCCTCCTGCTGCTGGGCTTTCCCCACTTCTAGCTGGAACAGTGCACCATGATTAAATGCAAGGGCTGTAGAATTAGACTTCAGCTTCACCTTTGGCTTTCCTACTGTGTGTTCTTGGGAAAATTAATGAACTTTTCTGAGCCTCAGTTTCCTCATCTGTAGAGTGATGCTAATCTTAATAATCTATCTCATAGGATTATGGTGAGAAATAAATGAAATATTACTCAGCTCCATGCTGGCCACAGGGCAAGTGGTCAATAAAAATTAGTGGTTATTATTAAGGGCTTCTTAGCTGATTAATTGGAAAAGTAGCTTCTCTCTCTTTTTTTTTTTTAGAGTGTCTTTCTGTTTGTGGTTATTAAGTTCCTCTTAGGGCCACCAGGAAGGAATGGTAGAATAGAAAGAACACTAGGCTTGGAATTTGGAATCTCAGTTTAACCTCCTGGAACATAGGTGACCCTAACAAGTCATGGAATCTCACAGATCCTTTCTGAACCCCCATTTCCTTATTTGTAAAAGTGGCCTAAGGATAAAACCCACCCCTAAGGCTGAATGAGCTAATCTGTGTGAATGTGTGTGACACTATGGAGGGCATGGGGGGTCCTCACTAAATTTAAGTGGGAATCTAGTGGCAGACTCCAGTCTTGTGGGTCTTCTATTTTAACAATTTCTTGTAGGGGAGGGGCTATAAGAAAAACAGCATATGAATACCTTGCTTTTATACATGTGACAAAACCATACAACCATGTGAACACATTGCTGGATCCCCTCTCAGGGCCTTGGAAAGTTAATCTCTAGACATTTCATGGCAGATTTGCTTCTGGGGCTTCAAAATCCTAGTGTCCCTCTGCCTTAGCAGGTTGGAAGTGCTCCATGCTTCATGCTCAAAGAGCAGCATCCTTTCCACACTGGAAAGTAATGATGGTGTTGGAGTCAAGCATGGGAAATGTCAAAGGTGCTATTATGATGATGAAGATAACAAATGACTACGTGGCTGGATGTGGTGGGCCGAGAACACTGCATTTAGTTGGCTGCGGTTGAGTGAGCAGTCTCGTTTGCTGGTTGGGTTGTGGGGGCGGAGGCCTGGGTTCCTTGAATGAGCTGCCTCTCCCCAGGCTGCTCTTTCTGTCTGCAGCCCTCCCTGGCCCGCGTTTCCCTGGCCCCACTGGCTCTCCTTGGCCTCCTGCTCGCTGGGCCGCCCTTGGGAGTTGTGGTTTCCCCGCCTTGTCTGTACTGTTTGCAGGGGGCTTGCCGGCGTCAGATCCCTTCTCCCCAGCTGCTTGGGAGGCAGAGCCACCGCAGGGTGTGCTTGACATTACCTCCTTGTTGGGGACATCCTGTGGGCATGTGTGGGTTTACTTGACACACTTCTGGCGAGATGCAGAGCTTGTCCAGGCTGAAATGTGAGAGGCCATGGGGTCACATAGTTGAGCTTCGTAGCTCACACTCCCCTGAAGACTGGAGGGCCACCTTGCTGGGCCTGTGGCTAAAATCAGCACAGGATCGTTCTACACACACTTTTTTTTTTTTTTTTTTTTAGATCCTGATCAGCACAGCAAAATGTTAAGAAGACTATCATTTGATCCTTTAGGGGAGAGAAATAAATGAATTCTTTATGAGCTAAATATCCGTAGGATGTTTATTAAAATGCAGAACCCAGGGCCTCCTACCCAGACCTTAAATCAGAATATCTGGGGAAGGGACCCCAGAATCTGCATGTTTAACAAGAATCTTGGGTTGTACTTATGTGTACTAAAATTTAAGAACCACAATTGTATATGCTTTTTTAAAAGATTGTAAAATACACAGAATGTAAAATTTACCACCTTAATCATTTTTAAGTGTCAGTAGCATTAAGTACATTCACGTTGTTGTGCGGCTAATTTCTGGAACTTTTTCATTGTGCAAAACTGAAACTCTACAGTTGACCTTTGAACTACATGGGTATGAACTGTGCAGGTCCACTTATACGTGGATTGTTTTCAATAATATTAGTACTCCAGTACTACACCATCATGGTTGGTTGAATCCCCAGATGTGGAACCACAGATGCAGAGGAACCTCGTATTTGGAGGGCCACCTATAAGGTATACTGAGATTTTCGACTGCTCGGAGGGTTGGCACTCCTAACTCCCGTGTTGTTCAAGGGTCAACTGTACTCATTAAACAACTCCCATTCCCCCCTCCCCCAGGCTCTAGCAACTACCATTCTACTTTCTGTGAATTTGAGTACTCGAAGTACCTCATATAAATGGAATCATACAGTACTTGGCTTTTTATGACTGCCTTATTTCACTTAGCATAATGTCCTCTAGGGTCATCCGCAAAGTAGCATGTGTCAGAATTTCCATCCTTTTTAAAGCTGTATAATACTCCATTGTATGGATATACCACACTCTGCTTACCCAGTCATTTGTCTGTGGACACCTGGGTTGCTTCCACCTTCTGGCTGTCATGAATAATGCTGCTGTGAACATGTATGTACAAATATCTCTTCCAGACCCTGTTCTCAGTTCTTTTGGGTATATATCCAGAAATGGAATTGCCAGGTCATATAGTAATTCTATTTTTAATTTTTTGAGGAATCACTGTACTGTTTTCCATAGTGGTTGCATTTCCATTTCTACTAACAGTGCACCAGGTTTCCAATTTTTCTACATCCTCGCCAACACTTATTTTCTGGTTTTTACATTGGTAGTGGCCATCCTAATGTGTATGAGATAATTATTGTGGTTTTGGTTTACATTCCCCTAATGAGTAATGACGTTGAGCATCTTTTCATATGCTTGCTGGCCATTTGTATGTCACCTTTGGAGGAAAGTCTTTTCAAGTTTTTTCCCTGTTTTTTTTTTTTTCATTCAGTTATTTGCTCTTTGTTGTTGCTGAGTTGTAGGAGTTCTTTACAGATTTGGATTTTAACCCCCTTATCAGATACATGATTTGCAAATATTTTCTCCCATCTTTTAGTTATCTTCTTCACTCTGTTGATTGTATCTTTTGATGCAAGTTCTACAAGTTCTTTATATATACATTAAAACTCTGTAAAGAAAATATTATTATCCATTATTCCAACTTTATAGGAGTGGAAACTCAGGCCCATTTCAGTTGACTTGCCTGGGGTCACATACCTGCATCAGAGCTGCAACTCAAGTCCAAAGCCTGCACCCTTGCCATTCCTCTGCCTTATCTCCCATTTTCCCTCTGAGCTAATAGCATGAAGAGGCCCCGTGGGGTCTGCAGGAAGTGGCATTGGTTTGAGAAGCGTTCAGTTATAGAAGAGGAAATATGGACCAAAGACTTGGGAATCGCTTCCTTCCGACCACTGGGGTGCTCCTTCCTGTAGATCCACATCATTACTTAGACTTTGGAAGCAGCAGAGAAGTGCAGACAGGTTTTTAACGGTTTTATCTGTTTGATTAAGCATTTCATAAGCTTGTTTCAGAGTCCGTGTGCTGCTCACAGTTCCCAGACAGTCCAGGCTTGTTCACGCTACCGTTGGTGGCGTGTCTACTGCCTGCAGTACTTTCGGTAGTCCACACGCCTCATCTTTCAGGGGGACCAGCTCTATGGCAGCCCTTCTCTCATGTCTCCCTGACTCCCTTCCTTTCAGGACATTTCCTCCAGCCTGTGAGCCCCACAGCAGGTGGCCATGTCCTGTTCGTCGCTGTGTCACACAGCACAGGGCACCGCGCCTGGGCTGTGCATCATCTAGTCTCCGCCCCAGCCCAGAGCAGTTAGATCAGAACCTGGGGTTGAGATGGGCAGCTGTAATTTTCCCAAATGCCACAGAGGAGTCTTCTTTGCAGCCAGCCTGGAGACCCACTGGTTCCTGCCAGGCCCCTATCCAGTCTGCTTGAGCTGAGTCACACCCACTTCTGGAGATGCGTGGAGTGCTACGGTCCCACCTCCCTTCCTCAGCAGGTGGCCCATCCCTGGAATTGTGGGGCATCAGTGATCCCAGCATGGCACTCTCACTGGAAGGGGCCCGATAGGTCTGCTCTCAGCATTGCCCCTGCTGCTTTACGTGCCCTCCTTAACGCAATGAAACATGACTGATTGTGAAAGGAGGACAGGACTTCATTCAGCAATCCTTCCTTCCACCCATCCATCTCTCCGTAATCTATTGAGTACTCACTGTGGGCTAGGCAC